CAATACAAATTTTAACAGATTAAATCCATATATTTTATTTTCTCTGGCTATGGTATAATCAACCTAGACATCCATTATAAAATAATGACTACAAAATGTGAATGTTTCAAATTTAAAATGTACTTCTAAGTGGCCTTTCAATTAAAAAGAAAATCACAATGGAAACTAGAATGTTTATACTAAATAATAATAAAAATCCTCCACATCTAAAACTTGTAGGATTCAGTCAAGCATGCTTAAATAAGAATTTATAATCTTAAAAATTTTTTTTTTCAGCTGTCGCACACAATATTTTTCCCCCCATTGGCCACAATACCTTTATTTTATTTATTTATTTTTGTGTGATGCTGAAGATCTTATTTTTCTCAAATCTCGCATGTGCTAGGCGAGTGCTCTATTGCTGAGCCACAACACCAGCCTGGGAATTTATAATCTTTAATGCACATATTAGTTTGGAAAAATTAGGTAGACTTGATATATTGTCATTATTAACATTATGCAGAGAACTATTCCACAAAATTTCTCTGAAATCTATTCATTGCAGAGCAAGATTTTCTCTCTAGCAACACTATTCTCCTGAATTCTAGCAGAATTTCCAGGATGTATTAATCTAATGGAACTTAGAAAATATCTAAAGGAGGGCTAGATTTAAACAGGCCTGTCACCAAAAAAGCTATTCAAATGTTCAATTAACATTAGAAAGTGTGTTTTGTTTCCTTACTAATTTCATTAGTAATTAGGAAATGCAAAGTAAAATAACTACTACACATATTGTACATGGACTCATGTGAAAAACTAGCAATCCTAAATTTAAGTAAGAACGTGGAACAGTGTGAGCTCTCTAATACTGCTAGTAGAAATACAAACTGTTACAACAATTTTTGGTATAATCCACTAAAGTTTAATATAATACTATGGGTGATATACATCAGAAATGTATATACAAGTGAATCAAAAGACATGTACAAGAATGTTTATTGCAGTGGTATTTATAATAGCCCCAAACTGGTAACAACCTGATGTCCTAAAACAGGAGACAGGTAAACAAATTTTTGTATTTTCATATAATGGAATATTCTATATAAAGATGAAAACAAATTATAGCTATTTGCAACCATATGGATAAATTTCACAAACATGTTGACTAAAAGAAGTCAGATGCACACACACAAGAAAAATGCCTACAGTATTACATTTATATGAAATCCAAAAAATATAACTTGGCTGCCTTTATGCGGGGGGAAGCACTGGGACTGAAGTGATAAAGGAACTCTTGTGGTACCAGAAGTGTTCTATTTCTTTGTCCTGGGTTGTTGTTACACATGTTCAATTTGAGATAATTTAATGACTGGCTGACTTAAGATTTGTTTACTTTTCTATATTTTTACTACACTTCACCTAAACAGTTTTAAAAATGCAGTTTTTTTTAAGGACACAAAATTATATCAAAGAAAACTAATCATTGCTTTATGAGGAAAAAAAATGTCAGCCAATGTATAGTGCCCCTGAGAGCCCCTTTCTTTCCTCTGAGGTGGCCTCTTATTTTTCTCAAGTCTCTATAAAGGGAACATTTGTATTTCTATCTGAAACACATAGCACCCAGGAGATTGTTTGCAATAGTGCCATAATAATGTTGTACAGCTCTAAGTCATATATACTCTACTAGGAGAATAGAAAAAGCCATGGTTGGGTAATTATTTACCTAGTATCCCTCGATTGCATATCTGTCCTTTTATACTCTGCTCTATTAGTTGGGGCTGGGACTCTGAAAACTATTTGTCAATTGGCATCATGTTAGGTTCTGTCAAGCATAGAATGTATTAAAATAGGATTTTAAGTCACACTAAAAATAATAATGTTGTAGAGTATCAGACATTTGATCTTCAGACTGTGAAGAAAAAGAGTCAACATAAGCAAACTTTCTTTGTGATGTTCTTACTTTTTTCATCCAGACTAGGATAGATTTTATTGCTATCAGTTTGAGTTATTTTTTTCCTCATATATTTTTAAAGTGACTATTATTAGAACTTTATATAGTATCCTATTGACTCAGCTTGTATATCAATGTAATATAGGTTGTTAGAAATTTTGGCTGGCTAGTCTTACTAATTGGAAAACAGATTTGGTAGTCTGGATCTGTTTCTCAGTGGGTATTCTTTGTTGTATTATAACACTTTCTGTCGTTTCAAACTAGTCTGGCTTCTCCCAAATTTTTATTTGGTGGCACAATTACAGGGCATAAAAATGGTATGGGAAGTGTGGTGTATGTTTAATATCTATCTCTTACTATAATCTGTATTCATTTATTTTTTAGGGGTTCTTTTTTTGCCATAAGATTTATTTTTATTTTTTTAGTCATACATGACAGCAGAATGTATTTTGACATATAATACATACATGGAATGTACATACATCAATCATAATGTCTATTCTATTCTGCTGCCCTTCCTTGTATTCATTTATATATGGATGTACATGTACATGTTTGGAAATATTTGGAAAAGTAGTGATGGTACATAGCTGGTTCAAGGAAAGGGCAGGTGTCTTGATATGTATACAGCCTGGTAAAAGGGAAACTGGTAGAGAATTGAAATTTCTATTATACAGTGAAAAAAGTGCTTTTATAGTCAAGTAATCACACCACAGATATTTTTTGAATTCCTTGAAATTGCATAGTGTTCAAGGCATAGGCAATACAATGGTAAATAAATTAGATATGAACGCTGCTCTCATGGAGCATACATTCTAATGTGAGACAAATAAATAAATTACACATGTATTTCATAACAATTGTGATCTGTGCTACTGAAGTATATAGAATATGTGAGTGATAACAAATAACTAAGCAATCATATAATTAATGGGAAAGATGTTTGAGCTTATTTCTAAAGAAGAACTTAATGGGAGATGATGGGGAGAGGCATAATTCCAGGGCATTACAGGAACATTTAAGCAAAAAAGTTTTCTTGGTAGGAAGGAATACAGTATGTCCCCAAACTGAAGAGGTCAGCACTACATTTATAAATGAACAACAAGGATATTCAAAGATAGTGGATTTGAATAGGACTGGTGTACCACACCCAGGGCAAAAAGGATGCAGGGACATCAAATTGTGTTAATAATTTTATTCATCATCTAAAAAATTGCAGAATATCACTAAAGGGTTGTAAGCACCTGTTCCAATGTTGGAAACAGCTTGTTTTTGTACAAAGAGTTTGTCTGGCAAATTGGACCTAGAGTAAGGATTATAGGCCCATGACCTTCTGGATGAACTTCCTCATGCATAAAATTGTACATTTGGACTAGATAACACTAAAGTTTCCTTTGGCTCTAAAATTTCACAAATGTCTCAAGCCAAAATATGTTACAGGTTACTTGATTTCTTGGGAAAATTTGTCCATATCTAGAAATGAATACCTTTTATATCTAATTATGAGCCATAATTTAATCTAAGTAAGTGTAATCAATGTTTGTAAGGATTAGAAAAGCAGGCAGAAAGGGGGCAAGATGGGGAAATTCAGCTCATCAGGTACACTTACAATTAAGGCAGCTAGTCTCAGTAAAAAAAAACAGGGTGGGAAGGGACTGTCTATCAGCAATCCTTATCTTCAAACAGTAGCTCTTCAGCATCCTTCCTCCATCATTTTTAACATATGTAATTGAAGTTCTTCATATTTATGTAATTTATTACAGTTTTAAGCATCTCAATACTTGAGAGATTTGCTCAAATTAAACCCTTTCTATTTTAAAACTCGGGAGCAATGCGTGAAGGCCATCCTACACTCTGAAGGACAGGGCTTGTCTGTGTGTGTTTTGGAGGAGAGGCAGGTAGAAATTAAAGTGTGAAAGCTAAATCGGACTTTGGGAATCACCTCTAAGGCATGCTCCTTATTTTACAGATGACAGCACAGAAACCTGTGAGGTGAGGTGCCCTTCCCAAAGTGATACTAAGTGGAGAGGCCTAGCCACAGTCCGGGGATCCTTCCAGGATCCTGGCTGGACTCTGAGGATTCCCTTTACTTCTCCCTGGAGCGTTCAGGAGGCTGGTTCCGAGCAGCCTCAGGACGCCTGGCTGCCTCCAGCTCTCCTCCCGCTTTCTCCCCCTGGGGAAGTGGCAAGGGCACCTGGTGCAAGGTGGGCATGGCGCCTGCCAAGAGTCTTTTGCGCTAGGAGAAGCGCAGTTTCTTCTGGATAATCGGAGACATCAAAACAGGCGGGGGCAGTTGATCAAGCAGTCATTGGCCCCAGCCGTCATTGGCAGCCGCGCACGAAGGGATCCCACCTAGCCGCACGGCCGTGTCTCTGGGGAAGCTGAACAAGGACTTCCCAGACTTGGTGGTGTTGCTACAGTGGGCGGCCCCAAAGTGGGCCGGCTTGTTGGTCGCCTCAGGTGCAGGGTAGCCGGGGTCGGCGGCCCTCCCGACTTGAACACGCTTTTCGCTGCGGCCTCAGCGCGGCGGGCTCCCTGTCACTTGTAGACTCTGGGTCCGGCAGTTTTCTTCGCTGCCTCGGGTCAACCGAAGTGCCGAACTGGGCTCCAAATGCGAAGGTCTTTGATATCTCCCTCCTCCTCCTTTTCTTTCTCCTTCCCGCAATGCTTCCCCGCCAGCAGGTAGACAGGCAGAGGGATACAAATTTCGCGCGGGCGGTGTTGAGGTGGGCCCTAAAGAGCAACGGACCGGAAGTGGTGGTTGTCATAGCCACCGAAGTGTCCAGCCTTTCCCCATCTAATCCTCTTCCCAGTACTCTCTCTCTCCGTTTTTACGAAGCCAAGGAAAACAGAACCAGGAAGTGCTGACGCACCGGACCCTTACAAATACAACCAGATGTTATAACGACGGTTTGGGCCAGGCGATTTGGGAGGGGACCAGACCGGAAATGGTAGTTTCTATGGTAACCCCTGAGCGGGTTGCCTGGGAGATGACCTCTTGTGGTCTCTCTGAATCTCTGCTGTAGCGTCACCTAGAAGGCAGATCTAACATCCTGATCTGTCTCCTGCCATGATTCCCGGGAAATACCGCTCTGCTTCTGGCCGGACTGCAAACAACGTAGGTTGGGCCTTCCTATTTGGTCTTTCTTCTCATTGGTATTGTCCTTTCTGATTGGCGTCTTTGTCCTAGGTGATGGGCTGTGTTATTGGGACCAGGACAGCTAGGTCTACTCAAGCTATTGTCTGACTGAGGTTGAGGTTCCTGGGCTGGACCAAGGCGCTTGGAGAGTGTATAATGTTGTATGATGAATGTTCAAAGTCTGGTCCTGGATCTGGGCTCCCCAGAAGGTGGAGCTGGTCTGCTGTGTAAGACGCAGGTTCATTTAAATTCCTTTTACTAGTCAATTTCTTTTCTTTTTAAATTGATAAAACAATCTATTATTAGGTACGTCTACTTCCTTCACCTGCCCCATTTATTATTTATTTAGACCTGAAATGGTAACTGTCTAAAGCCCAGGATACCTCAGTGGAGGGTTAAATTGGTGCCGACATTTTGAACAAATCAGCGAGACCTTTTAATTCTTATATGTGATTTTATTGATTTCAGCAAATTCTCAGAAAATTATCATTTACCCGAAACAAACAAAAATGGAGCATTCTATTCTATTGTTTTTTTTTTTTTTTTTTTTTTTTTGGTAGAGTCTTTATCCCATTTTGGGGAGAGTGTGTGTGTATGTACATAATTTAAGAGCAAATTTTATGGTTTAATTTTTATATTTCAGGTGAACTGTGGGCTTCATCTGGTTATTCAAACATCATCGCTTCCTGAAAAAAACAAAGTAAGATTTGAGCATATTAATATTTCAATTGAAGATAAATCATTTTATGTTCTATACCAATAGTACTGTGATTTAAAGAGTATATTCTTTTTTTTTAGTTGTAGATGGACACAATACCTTTATTTTATTATTTTTATGTGGTGCTGAGGATCGAACCCAGTGCCTCACACATGCCAGGCAAGTGCTCTACCACTAAGCCGTAACCCCAGCCCCAAGAGTATATTCTTAACTGGAAACTTTAAGTATATTTGCTTTAGTCTCTAATGTAAAGTTTTTTTTTCTGCCTGAATAAAACCAAAATTTGTCCTATTTTAAAAACTTAATGTCATTTCATTGATTACATGAGGTAAGTTTTTTGACACTTAAACATTTCTGAAATGAAGATCCTTCTTAAAATTGGTATCAGGTCAGAGGGGAAGGGAGGGGGCAGAGGGTTAGCAATGATGGTAGAATGTGATGGACATCATTATCCAAAGTACATGTATGAAGACATGAATTGGTGTGAACATGCTTTATATACAGAGATATGAAAAATTGTGTTCTATATGTGTAATAAGAATTGTGATGCATTCCGCAATCATGTATTTAAAAAATAAAAGCAATTAAAAAATTGGTACCAGGTCAGTTTAATTGAGAATTTTTTTAACAGTGGATGAAATAAGGATATGTTTTATTACTGATGACATCTTATACTGGTTAAAATGTGGTAATTTGGGAGCATATAACTACGCATTCCTTTTTAAAACAGGAAAGAAAAACTAGGTTAACTGGAAATATGTTAGGCTTAGTGTTACTTAGAATGTTTTCAGACTGTTGTGAAAATGAGATTCTTTTTTTTTTGCCTTACTATTTGCCCATGATACCTGTGTCCTTTCCAGAATTTCTGGCTTTTTATTTGATTTCTAAGATTTTTGAGGTAATTATGTTTGTCTACCCCTCCTGTCTTACCTCAGCACTCAAAAATACTTACCTACCTCCCACACCACTGTTTTCAAGATGCTGCATCATGTTTCCTTTAACCAAATTGGAGACCTTTGACCATCACAATTCAGTTATTTCCTGAAAGGTTGATAAATTGATGTCATTGGAAAAATTTTAAAGGGCAGAGTTTACAAATAACAAGATGAAGAGGGTAATGAATGGGGGTGAGTTTGAGAAGGGTGGGTGGAAGGACCATTATTCAAGAAGGCAGCAGTTGAACACATTATGTATATATATGAAAATGGTTGAACACTTGGAAGATAAACCATTTGATTTTCTCTAATAAACACCCCTTAACTTCTTTTCATTATTATAATGGGACATAATGAATTCCCTTCAAAGCTTTCTTAATTCTACCACTGTAGTGTTTCTAGGAATTTTGTGTTTCATCCAGGTCCTTTCCAAACCATTCCCTTACTCTCGTGTGGATACGTGTTATGGGAAAATACCATTAGCTCATATAATTCTTTAGGACATAATGCAAATGCTAATATAATGTTTATATTATGTATGAATGAGAAACATCACAATTCTTTTATACATATTTAAGGAGTTTTGGTGTCTAATCAACGAGGTTGTTTTGGTTTTGTTTTTCTCAGTTCTTCTACCAGATAATTATTTAAAATTAATTTAGTGAAAACCATTCTGAGGTTTAAATATACAATTTTATTATATTATGATATAAGCAAAGTGATTTTTCAACATCATTTAATTTTTATTTTTAGTGTGTGTTTTTCTTTTTTTTAATTGAACAAATGATTCTTTTAATCATTGTATTTCTGGTGATAATGTAAAGACATTGGAAGTGCCTCAAACTGGAATTTGCTTTCCTCTGATCTCATGAAATGACTCTAATTTTATGTGTGGTAGAATACATATAACATTAAGTTTCCAATTTAAAACATTCTGAAGTGTACAACTGAGTGGCAGTAAGTATATTCACAGTGTCGTTGAACCATCATTTCTATCTAGTTCCAGAACTTTTTCATCACTCCAGATGGAATCTGATGTACATTAAGCAGTTGTTCTTTATTCCCCAGCTATTTCAAATCCATAGAAGCAACAAATATGCTTTCTATTCCTATGGATTTACCTTTTGTAGGTATTTCATATAAATGGAATCATACAATCATATGTGGCTTTGTGTTTGGCTTTCTTTCACTCAGCATGATGTTTTCAAGGTTCATCTGTGTTGTAGCATGTTATTATTTTTTTATAATTATGCTTATTAATTACTATTGAGTTATCCTCCAGACATTTTTCCTTAAATAATGTTTTTCAGGTTGAATTCAAGATTAATAGAGAAACATCATCATTTCCTGGAAGACTCTTACAACATGACCTTGAAAGAAACTACTCAAGTAGGCAAGGTATTGTCAGTTGAGTAGAGATCAGATATAGTTCATCTTTTTGGGATAATATTAATTGTTTAATAATGTTGAATTTCTAGATAGAAATAAACTTCAGTTAAAAATGAAATGGTTGGGATGGGGATATAGATCAGTGGTAGAGCACTTGCCTAGCATGAGTGAGCCCTTGAGTTCAATCAGAAGGAAGGAAGGAAGGGAGGAAGGGAGGAAGGAAGGAAGGGAGGAAGGAAGGAAGGAAGGGAGGAAGGAAGGAAGGAAGGAAAGAAGAAAGTTTCATTAGTTATCAAATTGGTATTTGTTTAAATCAGAATTGGTTTGGTATATGTAGCACAATACATTATTTTCAATACAGAAAAAAATGTTATTTTAGTTTGAGAGTAGGCTACACTAGAGAATGGAGAATGTCCCAAATACTATAGTAGAACAGAAAAACTGGGTAATTAGGGAGACTAAGAATGTCAGAACACAAATATTTGGGAAATAAGGAAATAATGCAAAATGGAAAGAGAAGAGTGAAAAAGAAACAATCTCTATACTATTATTTACAATCATGAATATTTTCTATCAAAGGCCTTCAACTTCGGTGTATACCATTTGGGATCTTGTTAAAAATGCAGATTCTTAGTGCTCCCCCTTCATCTTCCCCATTCTGATTTTAGTAGGTCTTGGACAGGATTTTGAAATGTGCATTTTAATGATGCCTTAAGTGATTATAATAGAGATGATTTGTGAACCACCCTTCAATAAGTACTGCCTAATATGATCTGGTTATATTTCTGAAATGTATTTTTAAATTAAAGAAAAAATCTTTTTAGCATATTTGAGTCATGATTGGTTGGTAGCTACTATGATGTGCCATTATTAGACAATTCAAAATTCTTACATACAGTACTACCTCTATCTCTTAGGAGTTTGTATGAGAGGGTTGATCAGTAGAGGCACCTAGATTTTCTATCTCATTACTGAATGAACATAAGGCGATTTTGAATTAGTTTTCTCTTTTTGCTTTGGAACTCCTGGGCCTTCCTTTTGGATCTGTCTAATCTGGACTGTCTTTTCTCTTACATATGTCCTAGGCTCTTTTCTTGGCCAATTACTGAACCTGGTACTAACCTAATTATAGTTCTGTAATACAGGAAGCATCTTTCTTGCCATCTTTGATTCAGTTCAGTGTGTATTTATAGAGTCTGTAGTATGTGTCTGGCACTGTTTTAGGCATAAAGATATGTATGTCATCTAGAAATTCTCAGTTAGGGTTTTTTTATGCTTTCATTGTGAATTTCCTTCACATTTTTAATAAATGTATTTTAATTATTTTTTCTATAAATCATGAACCATACTTAAATACTTTCCCAAGTTTTCTTGAGTTATAGTAGGGAGTTGATATACTGATTTGTGGATGACTGGCTCCATAAATTTATTTAGTGATAACGAATTACCATGGGTCTGCTAAGGAGGAAATAATATGGATGTATTGATTTTTGTGAACCTGAGAAGTGAACAGTTTTATATGTAAGTAATGACCCATACAGTACAAATTAAAAATTTATATAGAGAAATATAAACCAATTTAGCTTTTCTTTGAAATATTTTATTCAAAATCAATAAATTAAGAATTTAAAACTATGTGTGTGGAGGGAAAGAGACACTGCTTGATTGCTAAGATCCTAATAAGTCACTGGGAAATAGAGTCAGGACTTTGGCTACTAAAACAATCTGAAAGATAAGGCTAAGTGGTACACATTTATGGCAATATACTATACTATCCATTTAGTCACCCATCTGACTACCACCCACTTGTGTGTCTATCCACCCATGAATGTAGAGTACATACAACAGAGTGAACATTTTTACCAATTGTGGACCATTATGCCTCTTAACACTTTGAGATACTACTTATGAATAAATTAATTCATCATCTTTGTATTAAAATGCAAGAATTTCTGATTTTCTTTTTAAAAGAAATAACACACACTAGATTTCCAATTAAGTTTTAGTAAACTGGAAAAACAATTTAGCTACTGATTGCCTACTGAATTTAGATGCTACCAAGAAGAAGTAAAGTAAAATGAGGTTCATTTCTTAAGGTACTTAAAAATTTAATTGGGAAAACAAAGGCTCTGTATTTGGTAAGTTAAATAGTAATATATGATTAAACAATAACAGAGGAAACATTTCAATGTAAAATTTTACCAAGTGATGTGGCATAGTGATGTGGTTACACACACACACACACACACACACACACGTATGTATATGAATGAAAAAGTTTTAACTGAAGATTTCTCTGGTCCTCAGTCATTTAGAAGATTTTTTTTTTTTTGAGACAGAGATGTCTTTAATCCATTGGATATTTGCTAGAAAAGTGAAGAATCCAAGTCCTTGTTATACAAGTACAAAGTGTTACAATTAATTCAAGAATTGCATATACTTTTTTCCTGGGTTTTTGGCCTAGAAACAGAACCACCATTTACAATGTCCCTTCCATTAGGAAATGGAACTGAAATTCCAAGCTGAATTAGAAACTAACTTAGGGACAAAACACATTTGTAAGATCGGCATTTCATCTAAGATCTGGGGCAAACCTGGTAGGCTTTGCATTGTGACCAAACCCTAGAGGGATGAGAACAGAGATGGGACTATAGGTGTTCACCTGATAAGCAGCAATTAGAGAAATGCGATTTAAAACTACACAGAGATTCCATCTTATACCAGTCAGAATGGCAATGGTGGAAATAGTTTTGGAAAAACAGGGAGGATAAGAAGATGGATGAGATTAGAAAAGCTAAGACTAAGCACAAGATCATTTGTAAAGCAATTAAATTTTTTTTAAGACAAAGAAAACGAAAAGGATCCTCAACCAGACTCCTAAAGCCCAAAAAGTAAAATCAAGAATCAACAAATGGGATGGAATCAAACCTAAAACCTTCTTCACAGCAAAGAAAACAATCAAGAATGTGAAGAGGGCCAACAGATGGAAGAAAATCTCTGCCACTTGTGCCTTAGATAGAGCATTAAACTCCAGGATATATAAAAAACTCAAAAAACTTAACATAAAAAAAACCCTGATCAATAAATGGGCAAAGGAATTGAACAGGCACTTCACAGAAGGTGAAATATGAATAGTCAACAAATATATGAAAAAATGTTCAATTTCTTTAGCCATTAGAGAAATGCATATTAAACATATACTGAGATTTCATCTCACTCCAGTCAGAATGGCAATTATTAAGAATACAAGCAACAATAAATGTTGGCGAGGATATGGGGGAGAAAGTACACTTTTAATTGCTGGTGATACTGTAAATTGGTGCAACCACTCTGGAAAGCAGTATGGAGATTCCTCAGAAAACTTGGAATGGAACCACCATTGGACCCAGTTATTCCACTCCTCAGTATATACAAAGGACTTAATATCAGCATACTACGGAGATGCAGCCACATCAATATTTATGGCAGCTCAATTTGCAATAGCTAAGCTGTGGAACCAACCTAGATGTCCTTCAACAGATGAATGGATAAAGAAAATATGGTATATATACACAATGGACTATTATACAGCCATAAAAAGAATTAAATTATGGCATTTGCAGGTAAATAGATGGAGCTGGAGAACATCATGCTAAGTGAAGTAAACCAATTCCAAAAAACCAAAGGCTTGATTGTTTTCTTGGAAAACACAATAGGGAGGGAGGGAAGAATATAAGTTCAGTGGAGCAAAGGAGAATGAAGGGAAGGGAAAAAGAATGGGAACAGGAAACACAGTAGAATGAGTTGGACATAACTTTCCTATGTTCATATATGAATACACAATCAGTGAAACTCCACATCATGTACTGTTATGCCAGATTCGTGGGACCCCAGTAGACCTCCAGGAGCCGAATCCAATGCAATCACACAAGAGTCTTTATTGCAAGCTCGAGCCTGGACTCACAACCATTTCAGATGCAGAGGTCCCGAGGAATAAGTCCTGGTCCTTTATTTAGTGAGATTTTATAGGTTTTTTGGGGGGATACTCTATGCGCCACAACATCACACAGCAAATCATTTCATACTTGAGAAGGCAGCCTAACCCTAGAAGATTTTGTGTGTGGATTTTCAGGCCTTTCTACTGACTCAGTTTTTGTCCCTTGGTGATAGTAAGCTTATCACACCAATAGTGATTATGAATTTTGTGTATGATAGTAGCTGAAAGGAATGAGGATAAAATTATCTTATTCACTGAGTGTAAATGAATTTATTATTTGATTTTTTTTGCCTCTGTATTCCAAGTCTTATAAAGTTTTAATCTACTTCTTAAGTTCATGGTTGGCTTGAAGGCTTAAAAAATAATTCAAAAACCTCAACTCTAATGTTAACAAGAGAAATTGAGGTTGTTTATTGTCTTGAGTTTTTCCTTTATCATCTTTAGCTGACTGGTTATCTTTAATCAATCTTGTACTGCAGTTGACTCTTAGACAGTTTTTTGTTCATTTTTAGCCATCCGATTTTTTTTTATTCCAAACCACTTTACTGAATCATGTTTGCTTACGTATTGTACCAGAAGGTCATCATGTCAGAAGATCAGTCTGTTGGTAAACATGATATCAATTTTTCTGAATGCTTATATTCTGGAACACCATTATTAATCATCTTGATATTTTATGCTATCCAAAAAAAGCAAGATGTGAGCACTGATTATCTTGTTCAAGAAGCTAGGTGAGGAATATTTTAGTTTATGTCTTATAGATCTGAAGAAGTTAGCAAATACAATGGTATTTGTTAAAAGCTTTACAGCTTTTTTTTTTAGTTGTAGATGGACATAATATCTTTATTTTATTTATTTTTATGTGGTGCTGAGGATCAAACCCAGTGCCTCATATGTGCTAGGCAGGCGCTCCACCACTGAGCCCCAGCCCCAGCTCCTTTACAGCTTTTTAGTATGATCCGGTTGGAACTTGATTTTAAGTTGTTATTATATTGTCGGGCGGCCTCCAAAAGATAACTTTAGGTTCCTAGATTTGGTTTTCCTCTTTTGATTAGCTTGAGAAGTAGAATTCTGTGGTCACCTCAAGTTTTATTATTTATTGCTCATTGCTTCCTTCAAGCACTTCCACATCAATTGCTGCTTTCAGATTTTTTTCTTTATAGAGGAAAATATGGTCAATTTCCTCTAGTAGTCACAGTGTCACCTTTGACCCATCACTTAAGTCTTGCTTCATTTTTGTAACTTTTCATCAGTTCTTCTTAACCCTCCTACATTCTTCTACTTCTTTGAGTATCTCTTAATATCTACCTCCCTTAAAATCTGTCTGTAACCCTCTTCATTAAGTGAGAAACACTTATGTGCAAATATATTATTTTTATTCTTCATTTTGTGTGTTTATTTATTAATTTTATATGTATATATCTACTAGATTAAAAGATGCTTAATGTTAGGGACATAATTGGCCAAGAACCCATAAACCTCACAGGGGTGTCATATCTGCTATGGACCTGAATTACAAGTGCACTAGATTTACTGACATCTATTTTGGTATCTTTGAAATAATATCTATGAATATTAGTTGAACACACAAAGAAAAAGTGATGATGTGAAGTTACATCTGTGATCCAAAACTACTTTCTGTGTATTTTATATAGCAAAGTCTTGCATTATGAAGCATTGTGATAAACTTTTTGATATTTTGAAGGAGATGGAAGAGTAATAAGTCCTTCGCTTCGTTATAAATCATCATGCATCTCATCCACAACAAACGTGACAGAACTATGTGGGCTGGAAATGAAAACTGCCACAACCTCCTTATCAGCATTTGGAGATTCTTCCATTCAGACACCTTCAAAGTCCAGAATTCGTCAGGGATGTCATAGTGCTGGCCCAAATGTATCTGGTAATGAGGGACTATCATCTCAGTTATTAGTGAGTTAAAATTTATTACTAGGATTCAGAATTATAAAGGGATAAAGATAGCACTAGAGTAGTTCTGTATTTTCAACCAATCTGTAAGGCAAGGGAAAAACCTAACATGTAGTTTAGGTTTGAGGAGGAAAGAAACAAGCTCAAATTTAGTAATTAATTTCAAATATGGAAAACCATGGAAACTTCCTAGAAAAGATGTTTGTAGGTGTCAAAGTTCTCCAAATATAAGGTAACTTTATTTCCAAAATTTAAAGGTTTGTCATAATCAAGTAATTTGTATATCATTTTCAATAGGTGATCATATTAATTTGGTGAGCTCATCAATGCCATCATTTCCTATTCTTCACCGTTCTTCTGAAGAGAAAATTCTTTACTCAGACAGATTGACTCTAGAAAGGTGAGGACAATTTTATCTATCTATCTATTTATTTATTTATTAATTTACCATTTATTTTTTCTAGATAATACATAGACATGGTAGAAGATTTGAAAGATGTGAAAATCTTCCTTTATATTTCTCAGCTGTCCCATTATCCTGCTAAATATAGTCCTTTTTTTAAAACCACTTTTTTATCCTGCCAGATGTATGGTGAAGAATTTTATATCTATATATAAAAGGACTTGACTATACTCCAAAAGAGTACTATAGTGATTCCAAAATATAGTTATGTTAGTCAGTTTTGCATTACTGTATCAAAATTCCTGAGATAGTCAACCTAAAAGGAAGAAAGGTTTATTTTGGCTCATAGTTTTGAAAGTTTCATTCCATGGTGAGTTGGTCCCATTGGTTTTAGGCCTGTGATGACACAGTATATCATGGAGTGTGTGCATGGTAAAGCAAGCCACTCACCTCATGGAGTGTGAGAAGAAAAAGAGAGAAACAGGAAGGGATCAGGGTCTCAATTATCCCCTTCAGGGCATGCCCTTGATGACCTAAGAACTCCCACTAGGGTTCATCTCCTACAGGATCTACCACCTCCCAATAATGCCATAAGATGGGGACCAGGACCAAGCCACTAACACACAGGCCTTTGACACTTATCCAAACCATAGCAATGACATTGATGAAAATGGGTTTTTAAATAGGAAAAAAAAAAAAGACTTGTGGTCCTCATGTGGACTTATTGGGCCCAATCTCCTTCTCTCACTCTGCTGCAGTCACACCCACCTCCTTGTTCCTTGAAAACACCTCATATCTGAGGGCTTTTGTGCTTGCTGTTCCCTTTTTCTGGAAGGGTCTTTCTCTTTATATCTATAGGCTTACTCCCTTACCTCCTTCAGGTCTTTACTCAGATGTCTCATTTTAGGGATGACTTCTCTGGCCACCTTCTCCAAAAGTACAACCCCTTCCACCCTGACATTGTTCAGCCCTCTTCTCTGCTTTATTTTTCACTTAGCATTCTACAACACATTAAATAACACATTAAATATTTACTTATATTTATTGTCTGTCTCCTCTTACTAGAATGTAAATTCTACAAGCACAGGGATTTTTATTCAGTTCTGTATCCCTGGCACCTAGAACAGAGCCTGGTACAAAATAGGCTTTTGATAAAAAAGTTAATAAATGAATAAATATATTTAGGTCTTGATATCCATCTTTATAGCTAAGAAGGTATCCATATTAGAATGGTGGATGAGATCCCAACTCCCATCCAAGTGCTATAACCAGCACAGTAACCAGCTCTGTTTCTGTTCATTTAGCAAGTCCACACCTGACACAAATTGTAATGGACCACCTGTTTGTTGTCAGGGAAAAAAGCTCTCTGGAGGGTCAAAGAGGGTCTGTTGTTCTTTAAGCAGGTCTCTTAAGGCATTTTTGGAAGATTAATGGATTTTGAGATACTAATACTACCTAATGTTTGTAACTTTCAGAATATCATTTTAATGTTTTAAGGTATTTTGTGGTAATTTTGCTCTTAGTCTTTAAAAACCTTCCCAAGAATAGTATCTCAGCTTCATGTTACTTCATATTAATAGGTGCCAGTAAGACTGTGACATAACAAGTTAAGTGCTTCTGTTGTAGCTGGGGTGACTTGGCAATTGTGAAGATGGATCCTTGGCAGCATATCTTCTGGGGTGGAGAAGAAAACTTTGATCAGGTGGAGACTTGCTTATCAAGAAAGTTAGGATCTGGGAAAGTCATTGCTTCAGAGACTGGTTGTGAAATGTTGGCATCATAAAGATGTCATAAATTTAGGCATAGTTTGGCCAAGTCCAGAATGGGCAGTCAAGAAAGTTGGGCCAGCAGCAAGGAACTAACTCAGGATTGATTATTTGAGAACCAGTGGGTAACAGCAGTGATCTCTGTCAGGCCTTTGACACTTGTCCAAACCATAGCAATGACATTGATGAAAATGGGTTTTTAAATAGGAAAAAAAAAAGACTTATGGTCCTCATGTGAATTTATTAGGCCCAATCTCCTTCTCTCACTCTGCTGCAGTCACACCCACCTCCTTGTTCCTTGAAAACACCTTATATCCTGGCTTCTTCTTAGCCAGGAGACTAAGGGGTCAAGAATAGAATCTAGCCCTAAGAAAGAGCGAGGCCCTGGCTGTTCTGGCTGTTAGGGCAGGTCTGGAATACCAGGAAGAAAACAGGAGGAAAAGCATAATTTAGTACTTGTGCATTACCAGCATGTGTAATGTACCAGGGCATGATATGTGCAGTAATGGGTAGGAGATGTAGCAACCCATGGGTTTTATGGGCATAACAAGCTCCCTTGAAGGGCACTGGGACATTGCTTATTGTGTCTGTTTGCTTGCTTCTTTTGGTGGAGTGTGACAAGGTTACAGGGGGTGAGCTTTGGAGTTGGGACTCTGACATTGTGTTTGGAACCAAGCAATTTTATAAGGGTAGGAGGTTTTTACTTTTCCTATCTCAACAATATCTGATTCAAGAATTGGATGAAATAGAAGTTGTGGGGTATCAGTAAGTTTAACTGAGAAATGGAGAAAGATAGAAAAAGGAAAAAGGAAATAATTTAAGTTTTTGCTAAGTTGGTGCACAAAGATAAATTTTAAATTAGAATACTTATGATTTATTGATTTATAATTTATATGCCAGAAGGACCAACTGTGGAAGTATAATTTAATGTATTATATAAAATTTAACTATTATCTGCACATTCAAGGGATTCAACTATCACTTAGTATTTTCACTTTTCTTCTATTTTGAACTAATTTCCTTAAGCTTATTTTTTTAAAAAATATTTTCTTTGTCAATCATTAACATTCACTGATTTTTTCTGTGTATCAATTTTTTTTCATATTAGAATGATTCTGTTCACTTCCATTTTTCACTTGTGCTTGTAGCAGTCTGATACATTTTTATTTAAAGCTTATGTTAACTTGATTTTTATTAAGTGGAAATATTTCTAATGAGCCTCCCCACTAGAATTGTCTACATACAAAGCTGCATTTTCCTTGAAGTCTTCTTTGGACTTCTAAGAGTAGAATCATCAGTACCTCCTATCTGCCCATATTATTTTATTGGTAAAATTCTTGAAGGGCCTTGTTGTTAGGGTCTGTAAACAAGTCAAGATGGCGCCTGGCATTTTGCCAGAGGGAGTGGTTTGTGAAGTAACACCAGCGAGCCATTAAGTGTGGAGATTCCTTATTGGTTGACTGCTGTATCTAGTTTATGTTAATTAAGATAAGCTGGTGTAATGTATATATACTCCTCCTGTGCTACAATAAACGGGTCCCACTCCTGCTGTGTCAGTCTCCACAAATTGCTCATCCCCCCCCCCCCCCAACCCCGGGTTATTTTGCTTCAGCTGGACTGCGACACCTTATACTTATTTACTTCACATGTGATAACCTTGTACTTATTTACTTCACATGTGATACGTTATAACTTTGTGCATACAAGAGGCTTACTGTTTTAAATACAACTAAAGACGAATATTATTGAAAGTTTTCCTACCCTTATAGCACTCTAATTGTTTGTGGCAAAATTTAGAGTTAATTAAATTTAACATTTAAGTTTTTGAGGAAATGTTCACTAAGGACTACCTTACTAGTAAGAAATTTCAGCTTAATTTTTTTTTCATTGAAGTGAACAGTAGTTGGCTGAATTTCTTGCTTTTATGAAAATTTCCTGTAGCTTATAAGCCTATGAATCTAAGAAACTCTTTCATGTGGTTTTTATTCTGATGACTTAGTGGATTGATGCCAAAGGCATTTATTTCTATAGTAATTTGCCATGGTTCTTTCTACCATCTAAACATCTATCACAGAAGACAGTTGAAAGTTTTCTGATGTTAAGTCAATTTCATGTGAAATAACTGACATTGGAGGTTTTTTAATATGATGAGAGCTTAGACTTAATTTTAATAATTACCTTGTCAATGTTTATTGGTGTTTCTTAAATATAAAACATATAGTATGTGGGAGCTGGTAGTTGTCCAGCTTACCTTTTTTTCCTCATAATATGGGAGTGCAAAGATACTAATACTTGACAGGAGACTGGCTACTAAATCAAAATCTTACTGACTTAAATTTTTTTTTTTTTTTCCCTAGGCAAAAGCTAACGGTTTGCCCTATCATTGACGGAGAAGAACACCTTCGTTTGTTGAACTTTCAGCACAATTTTATAACTCGGATCCAAAATATTTCAAATCTACAGAGGTTAATATTCTTGGATTTATATGATAACCAGATTGAAGAAATTAGTGGGCTTTCTACTCTAAGATCCCTCCGTGTCCTTCTCTTGGGGAAAAACAGGTATTCTTAATAGAAATGTCTTTATTTGTAATATAATGTTATGTATAGGACTAATGTTGAGTCCTGTGGTGTTTAGATAGACAGTTCAGAATTGAATAAGATCTTAGAAATTATTAGACTAAACTTTTGAAAGAGTTTTTGAATGGATTGTGTTTTGGTGGTAGAGTGTTTGTTTACCATGCGTGAGGCCTGGCTGGGTTCAGTCAGTCCCTAGCATCACTAGGAAGAAAAAAAAAAAAAGATTAAATTTTAATTTATTTTATGAGATTCATTCTGAAAATGTGTCATATAACAAACATTCATTGAGTATTTTATTTTCATTGCTTTCCAGTGTCCTATCTTATAAAAAAGACTTTGGCCTTGAATTTGTGCTTTCTTAGGACATGTTTTAAGCATGTTTGTTCACTTTAGCCTTCTGTGTTTCACTTGCCATACCTCTTAGTATTTGACTAAAGTTGGATACTCACTACTTTGTGATTGTCAAATCAGTGACTGATTTTTTTCAGATGGTTATTTCAGTATGAGTTATTTAATATTATATTTTGTATACTTCCTATTCCTTTTATACAGCTCTATTATATAGTATAGCTATACAATTCCTAACACATTTCCTTGAGATTTGTTCATGACTTTTCTCTTTATTCTTCTTTACTAAATAGCTTTCCCCCTTTTATTGTTTTTTAAAAATTATATATAACATTGGGATTCATTTTTATATAATTGTAGGGGCGTGGAATATTTGCTCTAATTCAGACCCTATTATTCCTCCTTTCCTTCCCCTCTTCCCTGACCCCATTCCTTACCTTCTACTTTACTGATCTTTCTGCTATTTACTTTTAGTTTTTGTTTTGTTTTGTTTTTGTTTTTAGTTAGTATCTTGTGGATATACATAATGGTGAGATTCACTGTGGTGTTTTCATATATATATGAGAGTTAGGTTAGATTTATTCCACTGTTCTTCCCTTATCCCATCCCCTATTCCTCCCCCTCAATCCCTTTCATCTAGTTCACTGATCTTTCTTCTATTTTGATGGAATCCCCCCTTCTCTTTTCCCCTTTATTTTAATTAATCATTTGTATGTGGTGCTGAGGATTGAACCCAGCTCCTCACATATGCTAGGCGAGCGCGCTACTGCTGAGCCACAACCCCATCCCCTTCCCTTTATTTTTGATTAGCTTATACCTATCAGAGAAAATATTCAACCATTGACTTTCTGAGTCTGGCTTATTTCACTTAACATGATAAATACCTACAAAGAAGGGCTGTTTAATAAAGTCCAAAAATGAGTAATATCTTTTCTTCACCCATTGCAAGGTTTACAACTGACATCCTGATAACAAAGATGATTATCAAGAGAAAAGCATAGCACATTTACTTAATATAAGTTTTGTGTGACATAATAGTCCTCAGAAATTAAGATCCAAAAAACAGGGAAAAGTATTTATTTTTATGCTTAGGTTTAATCGCAAGTGGACACTCATGTAGAAGTGTGATGGGGTATGATACAATGGTGATAAACTGGGGAGAGCTTAGTGAGACCTTTTTGTTCAGATTCTTCTTGGTGTCTGTGTTTTTATTCCTTTCTTCTGGTTATAGGGCAGACCCATCTGTATTGAGAGTCTTATTATATCCTTTCAGGGGAGGTAGGTCAGGTATTTTTTTGTGGCTTTATGGTAGAAAAGTGAGAGAATGTCAGAGAGTTATCTTTCTGCTTCTATATTTCTGTTTCCTTTGTTTTAAAATACTCGGTATACCAAAGTGCCATGTTTGTGTTCTTAGCCTGGCACTCTTTATTTTCACTGCCCAATGATAATATAAAATACTTTTTCCAAGATCATGTTTCATAGTTTTAAAATCTCCTTTGTCCTCTGTGATTTATTACCCACAATTAGTTCAAGTGTTAAATTTTAAGCATTATGTAGTTTGAGGGAATCTGGAGGAATTATAGAATCATAGAATATTAGAGCTTGAAATGACCCTCAGAGATTAGCTCTCTCATTTTGCAGATGTAGAAATGGAGAGGTCAAGTGAATTTGGCAAATTCAGATGTGTACAAAATGTATGCAGTAGGAGTGTGCCACCATAGCACTTCACTGGGAAATGTGAGAAAGTTAGCTTATCATGCGTTTATATGGTTTTCCCTGTCAGGCGCTGCTGTTATCTCTCACCAACATTTCTTTACTACTTTCTGAGTTCTTTATCTAGCTTATATTGATTCTTTAGTACCACTGTCTTTATATCCTTGATTTAGTCTTTGGGTCATTTTCTTTTTAATATTTTATTAGTTGTTGGTGGCCCTTTATTTATTTTTTTATGTGGTGCTGAGAATCGAACCCAGTGCCTCACATATGCTAGGCAAGCGCTCTACCACTGAGCCACAACCCCAGCCCTGGGGTCAAGTTATTTTCTAAAGATATTTTTAATCCTCTTTTCTGGTTTTAAGCAGTATCTAAGTATCTCTTCCAACAATTTGAAATGGTCTCTGCATCTTTTGTTTTTTTCCTACTTATACTTTTCTGCTTCTCTGGCTTCTAAGAAATAACTTGTGGGCCGGGGATGTGGCTCAAGCGGTAGCGCGCTTGCCTGGCATGCGTGCGGCCCGGGTTCAATCCTCAGCACCACATAACAAAGATGTTGTGCCACAGTCCGGCTGTGTGGTGGGGGGGAAGGTGACGAAGCGCCTGGCATTTTGCAGACTCTAACAATGTTGTATCCGCCAAAATCTAAAAATAAAATAAATGTTAAATAAAATTCTCTCTCTCTCACACACACTCTCTCTTTAAAAAAAAAATAACTTGTTTGTTTTGATAACTTGTGCCTAGAAGATAAAATCTGTCTGCCCTTATTTAGGGTCCCTTTGATCTTCTAATTATAAGGGACTTAATGACCTTTTACTGTATCCTTATCTCAGTGAAGTAAAAGCAACTCAATACCAACTCTTATTCCTTCTAATTTTCCATCTTCTTTTGTTGTTATTGTTTGTTTATTTGTTTGCTTTTGGTCATCTTTTACTTTATTTTTCATGTAAGGTAGCTAAATAGTACTTCTAAATAGTAGTAAACAGTTCTAGAACTGTTTGTGTTCTTGACTCAGAAAAAAAATGAGTCAAGATAACTTTCCACATCCTCCTAAATTGCTTATTTCTGATCCCTAAGACGTATGTCAGGTGCCCTCTAGCCAGCTGACTGTCATAGTAAGGGACGTGAGAACAGTTAGGATGCAGGTCTGAAGAGGATATTAGGAAACCTGGCAGAGAATTGTGGTGAAAAGGGAAGCACATCAGCCACTCTGTCTCTTCCTGTTTGTCTCAGGTGACTTCTTGCCCCTCCTGGTCAAGTCCATGAAGGTGTCTCCCTCCCACCTTGCAAGCCACTGTACCATATTTTAGTCCAAAGCAGTAAAACTATATACAAAAATCTTAAGCAATTACATGCCTCTAGGCTCACACAGCCCCAACAAAACTCTCTAAAACTAGAAAGACCCCTGCTCAGATTTTGTGTGTGAAATTGATGTTATTACCAAAGAACTCCCAACCCTACTTTGCTGTTAAAGTTCTTGCCTTCTAATTTTTCTGCCTTGACTACTCTCTGCTTATCCTCTCCAAATTTTCTGGTGTCCTCATGATCAAGGACTCATGAATAGAACTCTGTCTTCTTCTAGGATCATAGGACTGTAGATATAAAACTCTGTCAGACTCTGGGATCCTGTGTTCCTTTCCTTTTGACTCCTTGAAATTTCTCATGTGAGGACTTGTCTCTGACACCTAAACAGCTGAGCCTTCATATAGTCCTGTAGTAGGGCCTTCATCCTGGCATCAGTAACATAATGTGGCCTGCGAAGCTGTGATATATTCCTGGAGGTCTGTAGCTACCAAGGTGAGGGGTGAACCTAGTCTATTTCTAGGTTCAATTTCTGTCCTAGAGAATCAAAAAAAACCCCAAAACCATTTCAGGTTACATTGCTGTTAATGTGAAAATATTTAGCAATTTGGCAACTGACTAGGATTCTGAAAATTCTTCACATTAATACCCAATCTGACCAGTAGCCTCTTAGGTCAAATGATACCTTCATTTGCTTCTGAAGTCTTTAAAATTGGATCCATTTTTAGGATATTTCAGGTACTGGGGGTGAGGAGAGAATCCACGACAAAGGCAACTAATGAGAAGATTGCACGACGTCTCCCGGGTCTTTAGTTTTATTTATTGAGTAACAGACTACATTGATTCTCTAGATGTGAGAACTTTGAGCTAAAATAATCTCTATTATCCCTGGTGTATTGTTTTCAAAATGATAAAATATAATTCTCAGAAAAATAGATAGTAATCACAGACCAATATTTTAATTAGTTCTATAATGCAAAACCAGCAAGATGACAAAACTAGGGGCTGGGGATGTGGCTCAAGCGGTAGCGCGCTCGCCTGGCATGCGTGCGGCCCGGGTTCGATCCTCAGCACCACATACAAACAAAGATGTTGTGTCCGCTGAAAACTAAAAAATAAATATTAAAAAAAAATTCTCTCTCTCTCTCTCTCTCTCTCTTAAAAAAAAAAAAAGTTGCTTCTCTCAGCCTCTGTTTTCGCATTAGGAAAATGAAAGCTAATGTCTATTTCAGAGAATTGTGAAGATTTGCAGGATTTGATGTCCCTCTTTAAAAAAAAAAAAGATGACAAAACTAGCTCAAAAAAGGGTAGAAGGAACTGATTATCAATGTTTTAGCAAGCCCTCCAGGTAAATATGATATACAAAGAACCTTGAGAACCATTGTTTTAGGGAATGTCAGCTTGGGAGCATTACATAACCCAATAAAAATCTTTGTTAATAGCTGAGGTCAGATTGCCTTAAGAAAGCTCAACTCTGTTGTAAGCCAAATATTTTAGTAGGATATTGTAATTTTTCTCCAAATGTTCTAGGTATTTTAAGAGTAAAGCAGGAAGAGGAAAACTTTTGTAGAATTTTTTATCTGGTTCCCACCAGATTCTGGAAACATTTAGTAAGGTAGAAATGTTTTTTGAGGAAGTAAATAATGACAACAGCAATGAGTAGTGATAGACACATGATAAGAAGGATAGATTGTGTGAGATTTTGTCCTTTCTTTGCCAATTCTCCATCTCTGTACTGAACAATGGTGGTAGGATAAGGTAGAGTCTCTAGGAATAAGAAAAAGTTGCTCGTATTCCTTGCTCTTATTGTAAGAAGAGTCCAGTTGGGGATAGTTAGACAGGTAAAGTAGATATAAGACAGGAATGAGAGGGATAATGGGTAAGCTTATAAGAGGGGCTAGAGGAAGCATTTTAAAGGTAAAAATGTGTTTTTCTTTTTTTAAAATAGGACCTTGCTATATTGCCAAGACTGGCTCTGAAATAAAAAGTTCTAATTAAATTTAAGTGTTTTTACAAAGCAGGTCTAATAGCATTTAGATGGTGCATAATTGTGTAATAATTCTATAATGGAAAACCTTAGAACATTAAACTTATCCATTTAATTATTGTGGTCATTCATTTATTAAACTAATATTTATGGGCACTTACTTGGTACTTTACTGTGTGAGTGCTGAGGCTAGAGTAGAGAACATGTCAAAATTTCTTTCTTCTTTCTTTTTGAGTACTGGGGATTGAACTCAGGGACACTAATCACTGAGCACATCCCCAGCTGCCGCATACCGGCTGCAGCAAAATAACCGGGGGGTGACGAACAACTTGTGTACGTTGATACAGCAGGAGAGGGAGCCGTTTATTGCAGGACAGGAGCAGTATTTATACATTCCACACAGCTTATCTAATTAATATAAACTAGATACAGCAGTCAACCAATTAGGAATCTCCACACTTAATGGCTCGCTTTTGTTACTTCTCAAACCACTCCCTCTGGCATTTTGCCAGGCACCATCCAGATGAACTCTAACATTCCCCTGGCAAAATGCCAGGTGTTACTTTGACTTGTTTACAGACTCTAACACCCAGCTCTATTTTTTATTTTATTTAGAGACAGGGTCTGAGTTGCTTAGGCCCTCGCCATTGCTGCGGCTGGCTTTGAACTCGACATTCTCCTGTCTTAGCCTCCCAAGCTGCTGGGATTACAGACGTGTAGCATTGCATCCAGCTTTCTTTCCTCTTGAAGTTCGCATTTTGATATGGTCACAGCGATGATAAAATAGTATACATGTAAATAAAATAATTTATAAAGTCCATTAAAACTGGGGAAGGAGAGCATAATGGGGATAGGAAGGGTAGCTATTTTTAGATAGAATCATTTCTGAGATGTTTGAGCTAAAACCTGAATAATATGAGGTCATGAACCATGTGAAATTCTGGGAGAAGAACATTAAAACAGAAAAAACAGTAAGGGTAAATAATCTAAGGCAGAAATAAACCTGTCAAGTTAGAGGCACAGGAGAAAATGGCCCTGTGACTGGAACAGAGTGAGACAGTGAGCCTGTGGTAGAAGAAGCTGGCAGAAGAGTCAGCGGCCAGATGGTTCAATGCCTTATAGGCAGAAGTGAGGAGTTCAGATTGTATTCTTAGGTGAAGGGAACTACCTTGAGTCAGAGCTTTGACCTAAGGTTCTTAGAAGTAGGGTTGCTTTTCTCTAAATGTACATTTTTATATCTTTCCTCCTAATGCACTGCATCTTTAAAATATAATTAAACCAAAGAGAAATATGTTGTTTAATACATACATTTATAACTATTATATGTATTTAGAGAGAGAAGAGAGTAAATTAAAATATTAAAATGTAAATGCAAATATAAAATATGTGCAACTTAGCACACTTTGCTTTACTGATAGATGTGACATACACGTATTTCTCTTCAACTAATTGTACTTATTTTGATTTTCAGAATCAAGAAAATCTCAAATTTAGAGAATCTAAAAAGCCTAGATGTTTTGGACCTTCATGGAAATCAGGTATTGTTCAGCCCGTTTCTTCTTTTGAAACAATGCCCGAGAAATTTGGTATTGTAAAAGTTTTAAGAATCATACACTGAATTTTTCAAGAGTTACTTTACTGGGTCATTGAAATTAATAGGATATTAAGCTTATTTTTTGCAAGATATGATAATTCATTAGCAGTTAATTGATTACAAAAACATTTGGAATCCTTATGGTTACAACTTAATTTTCTATTTATTTTTTTAGTAACTTAATTTTAATATTCACATTACACAACCCTAACTCAAGAACTAGAATATTACTGACTTTATGCTACTTAAGTGTTTTTCTTTCATTTTATAACCTTATTTCTTCATCAGAGGTAACCACTACTTTGTATTTCACACTACCGTTCCTTTGTGGGTTTTTAATTGATTTCTTCTTGGTAAGGAATTGAAGGAATTGGTGTTTTATCTTATAGCACACTGTTTAAAAAACTATAACATAAATGAAACATTTTATAGTAGCAATTTTTTCTTAGGTTTATTTTAAATTATATATGTGAGAAATATAAGACATATTTCTGTTTTTCAAATTACGGTGTATCTTTCAGAATTCATAGGAACTATCCAGGATCTTAAAAATGCACCTGGTAAATAAATGCCACCATTCAGTCTAAACATTACCAACCATTATGTTGATGAAAAATGCTCTATTTCTTGTTAGCTCACCTGTATTATATATCTTATATTTCAGCATGTTTGTGATATTCTGTGTATTAAGAATAAATTTTGTACTATATGAATTATTTCTCAAGGTTCAAATGAAAAATCTGAGTCTTGTTTCAAAATAGCTGAATCCAAAAAGCAAAAGTTTGGAATATTTCAATGCAAAGATGAATAGTCTTAGTGACCTTAGGTTTCTAAAAAGTTAGAAGATAAACTATTCAAGTTGACACAATTAATGTCTGGTTCTAAAAATTTAGCATCACATAGTAAAAAATGAACAGAAATTAAGTGAATTTTTTTATTTTGAATTTACTTCCATTGGAAATAAAAATCATTTAGTGCACATTATAAAATAAAACAAATTTGATATGTGGATATAAAGATGTTCTGAGGAATGATGATGGTATTCAGGAAATGGATTGGAGAATGGAAAAGTTGGAGAGGGGGATCTGTCTTCGGACAGAGAACAGTTAAGAGGATAATCATAGTAATCTTGGTGAGAAGTGATGGTGGCATAAAAGTAGTCTCAGTGGGGATTTAATAAGGACATAATTGAATAAGTATTTTAAAAGTAGAAAAATTAAGAGATAGCATTTGGTATGACTTGAGGAATCTGAGTAGGTTGATTCTCAATTCTGATCTGTATTCTGTGTTTGTGTTAACTTTCTAAAGAAGGAAAGATTTATCTTGGCTCATGGTTTCAGAGGTTCTAGTCCATAGTAAGCTGGCTCCATTGCTTCATGGACTGTGATAAGAAGGGCATCGTGGCAGGGAAGGGGTGGTAAAGCCAAGCTGCTCACCTCATGGTGGCCATCAAGAGAAGGGAAGGAGAGGAAAAGAAGAGGGTGGGGACAATATATCCTTCAAGGACACTTCCACAGTGACCTATTTTCTCCAATTAGGCCCACCTCCTAAAGTTTCCTACCACCTCTCAATACACCAGCCACTGGGGACAAAGCCTTGAACACGTGAGCCTTTGGGGGACATTCCAGTTCTAAACTATAATGGTGTTGGTCTTTCTGATTTTGTTCTCTTAGGGATGCTTTAAGAAAGCACAAATGCTTCAATAAGACTCCATTTTTTCAGGGATATCTTTCTCAGGGATGAGGTGAAGACCCAAAGAAAGGATGAGGTGAAGACCCAAAATATCCTTCAGGGAACATCTCAGTGACCTAAAGATCTCCCTCTAGGCCCCACTTCTTAAAGGTCCACTGTACCTCTTAATATTACCTCCCTGGGGACCAAGCCTTTACATATGGACTCCTAAACCATAGCCACAGATCAAACAATTAGTACCTTCACATTATATATTTATATCTTTCTTGAATTCATAGAATTTTATTTTACATATTTAAACATTGCTTCTTTTCCATTTATGTTTATTATAGTCACACTGCTTGTTTTCTATATTCCCATCTTATCTTTTTTCTTCCTGTCTCTGTTTTTTCTTTATATTTTGGGAGAATTTCTCAAACTTGTGTTAAGATTACTGATATCTTTTTCTACAATGTCTATTTTGCAATTTTACTAATTCCATACATTTCAAATTGTATCACCTATTTAGTTTTGATATATTTTACTCTACATCTTATTATATAGTTGTGCCATCTGCAAATATTTATAACCTTGTTTGTTCTTTTCCATTCATTTTATATCAATTAGAAAAAAAATCAAAACAAATTTTAAACATAATCTCAGGTTACTTTATCTATTAGTGAATTTTTAATAAACACGTCATGTTTCTCTTGAAACTAGAGGAACTGAGATGGTGTTTCTTGAATGTAAAAACATCCAAATAACAACATGGAAACTGGATTATAAATCTAAAAAAAGTTCTCATAGCTAACATGTTTTTGAAGTGTTAGATAAAAATTTCAGATAATATTATGATGGCAGTACAAATGGACAGAATAATCTCTAGTGACTGAATTCTTTTTAATGTACATAATAAAAATATCATGATGACTCATTGTTACTTAAATACATTATATCAAGAGATTGATGAAGATTCCTTTTTTTGTGTCATGCAAAAACATATCCTGTTGTGCTACACTTGCTATCTGTAAATAATGGGGTTTAAAATCTTGGTGATCTCTTATTACTTCATGGTGATGAACTCAGACTCCTCTGCTGCAGTTCCGTGCTGATGTACATATGCATATTTCATGATTCAAGTCCTCTTGTTCTAAATATTTAGTGTCTAGCATATTGCACCCTGACTAAGCACTATCTATCTCCTCTCTTAAACACTTCTAATAAAACAGTGTCCATTCTTACCTTCCACCGGGGATCATGGTTCCTTGAATTTTTCCATTCAGACTCTTGACTGCTCTCAGGATCTTGCAGTATAATAGAGTTAACATTAGTATAGTATAATATAATAATAGTATAGTATAATAATAGTATAATAGAGTTAACAAGAGGAATTTGGTATCATTCTTTTCCTTGCCTTTTCTCTAAGAGGAAAGACTTCTTTGTAAAAACAATGTGAGCTTATGCCTTGGGCTCATAGTAAGTTTCTATTCGGCAGATAGTACATAGCCTTTACAGGACCTGGTAGTGTTGGGCACTTAGAACTCCTCCCAATTGTAGACTGATTGATTTTTTTGATGAAATTTACTTGAAATATTTACTGTGGTCAAATTGTAATATGTGATCCTTTAGTTGAATGATTTCTTTTATCTATTAGTGAATATCATCTACATCATAGGAAATTGAAAATAGAGTTTAAAATGTCTTCATATGAACTTGTTACTAAATGTCACTAAATACAATGACTTTGAATGTTTTATTTGTTTTTTATAATGTATATATTTATGAGATATGCTAATCATTTCTCCCTTATTTTTTTTAACAGATTACCAGAATTGAAAATGTCAACCATTTGTGTGATTTGAGAGTTTTGAATCTTGCCAGGAACCTTTTGGGTCAAGTTGATAATCTTAATGGACTGGATTCACTAACTGAACTTAACCTGCGACACAATCAAATCACTTCTGTGGTGAGTGTTAAAATGGAATCAATATGTGCCCTTTAAGGAAATTATACAAACGTTACAGCATTGCTTTACACAAAGTTAGAATCTAAAGTTATTTATTTTTCTGAATTTAAATTGTGGGTATAATTATTAAGTTTTAAAATATGTTGATTTGGAAAATAGTAAGTTTTCCTATTTTAAAGGACATGTGTGTGTGTGTGTGTGTGTGTGTGTGTGTATAATAGAAACAGAAGTATTATCACTAAATGAATCAGCTATCACTAAATGAATACTGAATCCTTTCTTGTTTTGTCATGGGTAAGAATGAGAAAGAAGGAAGGTTATTGGTGAATGATAGGATTGATGAATTAAGAAATTTTTGCAACAAGGAAGAAAAGGCACAGAGAGGAGAAGTGGGGTTGTGGAGATTCACATTAACATGCGTTGTGGTTTTTTTAAGAGGCTGCTTGATAGAGTGGAAAGAACATTGCAGAGGGTATAAAAGGCCTAGTTCTGGTCTCAGCTTCATTTCTAATTATGTGATGTTGGGTAGATAACATATTCTCTGGGCCTCAGTTTAGTTTTTTCTAAAACAAGGACATTGGGCTAGATTGTCTTTAGGGTCTTACTGGCTTATTGATTCTGAAAAAACACTTAACACGTTTTCTTTATTTAAACACTGTAAAAAAAAAAAACCAAAAAACTACTCTCTGGTAGAGTTGAAGCACCTTGTAAAGGCACAATCTAACATAGCTCTTTCAAGATGTTGAGTTCCTTAGTCAAGACTTAAGTGTGCTATAAGTAGTATACTGGAAAAAGTTGAGACAGAAGATGCCTTATCTCTAGTTTCATTTTGAAGTTTTCTCAGAAAATCCAGGCCATGTAATGCTCATATCTTCTAGAAGGTTAGAATCATTTCAGACCCTTCTTTAAGACATGGATTTATTCTAGAACTTATAAATGCTATTTATCCCTCCCTAGATAGGGTATGAATATTGGAATTGGACTACTTATCTTAAAAGACATGTATATAGGTTAATCTTTTGCATTGCTACATCTCCAGAAACTGCTCAGTCAGGACTTAATCTGTGCTCAGAACACTGGGTCTGGTAAGAATCCAAAACAGAAATCTATCAGCCCTAGCACTTTCCTGTCTATATTTTGGCTTTCTTTTGGAAAGTACATAATACACATCCTGGAAATTGCTTACTAGATTTCCCGTTGAGTATTATCTTTAATCATTACTGTTATAGCTTAGGCAGCAATAATGTCTTATGGAAAGGAAATTGTATTAATTTCTAAAAATTAAAAAAAAAAAAAAAAACGGGACTGGGGTTGTGGCTCAGTGGTAGAGCGCTTGTCTAGCATGTGTGAGGCCCTGGGTTTGATCCTCAGCACCACATATGAATAAAAAAATAAAGTAAAAAAATCATTGGCAACTAAAAAATATTTTAAAAATAGACAGTAGTAAGTATTGTATATATTACGTAGCTGTCAGAATGATGGGTATGATACATGTTCATTATATGAAATTGTGAATATAAATATAATCTGAGGATACAATATTTTTTCCTTTCCTTGGGGCAGTTATCACACTTAATGTTTTTTTCTTTCATGATTTTGATTTTTTTTCAATGACTGTTAATGCTTAAATGAAGGACCACATTAAGTAGTGGCTGAATATTCTGTGCAGCTGAACAATTCTTTTTTTTACCATGAGAATACTCTCTAAAATAATCAGTGGATTGTGTGACTTTTGAATCCCACACATTGGCCTTTCATTTAGGGTGAGTGAAAGAGGAAAAGCAGGTTCACTGTGTAATTGCCCAAATAAGAAAGATTTGGCTTTGGGGGATAGGTAGACTTTAGTTTCTCTTGTGCCAGGAAAAACTGCCATTTCTTCTTCTTTTCCCTCTGAATGTGTTGTAAAGTCATTAACTATCTCCATAGGTAAAATACCCACACTCTCCCAACCTATCTTAACTAATAATTCATTTTGTTTAGAGACAGTTCTGAGGCTTCAGCTAAGGAGTTCTTCAGGGAGCTTCTCTGTATGTGCTTTATATAGATGATATGAGTGGGAGCCGGGTAGATTTGTTTGTGTTCCAGGAATAGCTGTTGAGTAGACAGACCTTCAATTACACACCTACTTGATTTGTCATAGTTAACTACAATCTCTGCCTGCTCTTTGTCTGTCCTCACTCTCATCATAGATTAAGATGGCCTTCTTTCAAGAAAGAATGTCTGCATCAAGTGCAATATCTCCCTGCAGTTTTAAACCACAGTTCTCTCCACTCAGAGTCTCTAAGATCCCATCAGCTTTCCAGCTAACTGAAATTTCATAAAAAATGTTGGCCTGTGAAGGCATCTTTCATTTTCATGATTTTTGTGAATTTACTGATTTTAGTATGTTTTATATTTCTTTACCCATTGCCTACTTCACCATCATGAGGAGAAACTTCTGATTTTTTTTTAATACTGGGAATTGAACCCAAGGACACTCAACCATTGAGCCACATCCCCAGCACCTCTTGCCCTAGCCTTTTAAAAAAATTTTCGTTTGAGACTGGGTTTCCCTAAATTGCTTAGGGCCTTTCTGAGTTGCTGAGGCTGCTTTAGAACTTGCAATCCTCCTGCCTCAGCCTCTCAAGCTACTAGGATTACAGACATGTACCACTGTGCCTGGCCTGATGTTTTTGATATAGAATAGTTATTGTTTGTTTGTTCATTTGCCAATCTTTCTCTTGAAAATTTTATACATGTCAAACTATCTTTTAAGCTTGTATGGTTCCTTCCACATATGAGAGAAAAATTCAACCTTTGATTTTCTGAGCCTGACTTATTTCACTTAGCATGATGTTCTTCATTTTCATCCATTGACCAGTAAATGTCATAATTTTATTCTTCTTATGGCTAAGTAATATGCCCTGGTGTATGTTTATATGCTACAATTTCTTAATGCATTCATCTGTATTGTCAGGCATCTGGTTGATTCCATAATTTGGCTGATGTGAATTGTGCTTCCTTAAACGTTGAGATAGCTATATCACTATAGTTGGCTAATTTTAGTTTGTTTGGATAAATACCAACGAGTGGAATAGGTGAGCCATATGGTGGTTCCCCATTCCTAGTTTTTTGAGGAGTCTCCATATTGCTTTCCAGAGTGGTTTTGCTAATCTGCAGTCCCACCAGTAATATACAAGTATACCTTTCCCCCCATATCCTTGCCAGAATTTATTATTGTTTGTATTCTTGATAATTGCCATTCCAACTAGAGTGAGATGAAATCTTTGTGTAGTTTTGATTTGTATTTCCCTGATTGCTGGAGATATTGAACATCTTTAGTATATTTGTTGGCCATTTGTGTTTCTTCTTTTGAAAAAGTCTTTGTTTAGTCTTTTGTCATTTTATTGGTTGGGTTGGTTTTTGAGTTCTTTATATATTCTGAATATTAATATTAATACCCTCTCAAAGAACCAACCTGCTGCCGCAGTCTGGCTGGGCACAAAATAACTGAGCCACCACAAAAGCCTTGTAGATTCAAACAGCAACTCTTTATTCCCGAACTCTCACCGGCACTCTACACACACGTTCTGGGAAAATACACTCCCTCCACCAGGCTCTGCGTACCAATACTCCCAGAACCCTGCGAGAATTCAACGGGAACTCCAAGAGCAGGCGCCTGAGGCAGCAGGATACGCCCTAATCCTGGATCCGCCCTATTCCCAGCAGGATCCACCCTAAACCCAGAGCCACCCTAATCCCTGAGCAGGGTCACCTTTCAACCCAAAATGCCATGCGTCATTCCTACTTGGCTATGGCTCTCAGCATCTCCCCCCTTCTGATTAATAAAACAACAAGCAATGTGGCTTAGGGACCGTGCCTGTTAGGTTGTCCAATTCAATATATGGTTCTTACCCGTCATTGGATGAGCTGACCTCAAGGCGTCAGCCTCCTGTCTTAGGTTGGTACCACTGCAATTGGATCATACCCGTCACTGACTACTGGTCCAGCATACAGCCATACTTGTGGATAGGCCTATGCACCAGTGAGGGGGTAAGGTTCTTTGCCTCACCTCTGTTGGCCCCCAAATTTAGACCATCACTAGTAGAAGGGAGGAGGATACAGAAATGCCACGACACCAAGCCAATTGACGGCTCCTTTGGAAAAATTGCATCACTGGTGACACCATCAGCAAAGATATGCCAGCACTACCACAATAGTTCACAATGCATACAAGTGATACATAGTCCAGGCAAGTTCTGCAAGCAGTTCAAAATGGAGGAATCTATCAATATGTCCATTTCCTCCCAAAGTAAATCAACTCCTTGATTGAGTATTACTTGTTGAGTTGTTATTCATTGATGCATCAGTTTATACAGTTTACTGTGATAGCTATCATAGAAGCTGTAGTTTGGTTTTATCTTTGTCTTCACTGGCACTGGGATGAAGATAGGAATTCTGGCAATGATGCTAAAAAGAAATTATGTAACATTCCAACAGGTACTAAGAAAACAATTTTCTGAACAATTTACATTATCCTGAACAGAATTATTAAATATAATGAAAAGGAAAGGTGAAAGTAAACAAACAGATCTGTTAACCTCCTTATTTGTACACATATTAAAACAATCCTCAACAGCTGTTTACCCAATTTAAATTAAACCATTAAAATCACGTGGAAAAAAAAAAAGGCTGACGCCTAGAGGTCAGCTCATCCAATGACGGGTAAGAACCATATGTTGAATTGGACAACCTAACAGGCACGGTCCCTAAGCCACATTGCTTATTGTTTTATTAATCAGAAGGGGGAGATGCTGAGAGCCATAGCTAAATAGGAATGACGCATGGCATTTTGGGTTGAAAGGTGACCCTGCTCAGGGATTAGGGTGGCTCCGGGTTTAGGGTGGATCCTGCTGGGAATAGGGCGGCTCCAGGTTTAGGGTGGATCCTGCTGGGAATAGGGCGGATCCAGGATTAGGGCGTATCCTGCTGCCTCAGGCACCAGCTCTTGGAGTTCCCGT